GTTCACACCCATGTTGTCCAGCCTCACCCATCCCCACACCCACACCCTGTTTGTGTGATTCTGACGTAATTTTCTGTTTGCATATGTCATGAATTCTTTCTCGAACTTTCCTCTTATCAATTCATTTTTTTACCAACATAAATAAACGAGAAAAAACACCTATTATTGTTATAGGCTTTATCTAGAAGTTACTGTTTCACTAACAATAACAATCATGCTTTTCGTGTTTCTTTTCCTTATTACCACGATCGGAGCTACGCCGATCGGAAACCTGCGATCCTTGACAAATCCAATGAACAATAAACTACTAGATTTGTACATGGTGATCGATGTGTCCAGTTCTCATGTTAATATCATGCAATTTGGACAAATAAAAATCGCCTTGAGCAATCTTCTAACCGATCTAACATCGTCTCCAGGAGCTCAAGTACGCTGTGGAATTTATTTCTACGGTGTCACAACCAAAGTCGATGTTGTTGTCGCTGGCAATACTCTAGTGAATGCGCCAGCAATCAAAGCCAAGCTTGATCAGAAACAATATGTTGTTTCCGCGCCCAAGCCATCGACTCTCATCGATGCTCTCAACTCAGTAGGCAATAACACATTTGCAACCACTGTCAGACCCACAGTCACATTGGTCATCTCGGCTACACCATATATAAGTGGCGAGCCTAATGCAAGGTTATTAGAGAGGTCCGGAATGACATTAATTACTATCGGTATCGGCAGTCGAGTAAACTCAAGTGCACTTAAACAGATTGCCTCAGAGCCAAGAGCTAAGTATGCATTAAGTTTAGACAGTTACACAGACTTGATGGTTCTTGTTCAGTATGTTTCATCTATTATTGCCTCAGTGCCTCGCTTTGTTTCTGTCAGTTCAGTTCCCATCCCTCTTTCAATTACTCAGCTTGGACTTTATCACACATTTCAAGTGAACACATTGACATATACGGCAACTAGCGACGCTATAATCTGTCTCGAGATGACTACTGCAGATGTTCGACTCTTCAAACTTTATGGTTCAATCATCGAACCAAACCCCACGATCGATAATGCATTCGAAGCTCAAAGCAACAATGTGCGACGATACAGTGGTGAAACTGAAGATACTTCTCTATTTTATTTTTACTTGTCACGATCAACAAACAGGCTGTATTTAAGTTTCATTGTGCAATCGAAACCAGTCTCTCTTAAGTATATGCTAACAATGATCAATGTGTCTCGAATGAAGCAAAACGTGGCAAACAAAGTTCGCTCAGCAGGTTCAGATTTTTCTAGTATGATAGGCTAAAAAAAGTCTACAGTACCAATAAAGTATTGCACAATAAAAAAAAACAGAACAAACGTTCTATTCAGGATTTGGGTGTGGGTGTTGGTCCTTTTTTCAAAGCTACATCCGTATCCACACCCACACACTTGAGTGAAATCAATTTACTTGTGTGTTCTTATTTGAAGACAGAGATTATTCACATTTTGCTCGAAGATGCGTGTAATATTCGGCCACTGGGTATATCATATGATTTTTTGACACTAAGAGTTGATAATTTGTGTTCCGCTGTTTCTACACAAGTCGAACGTCTAAAAATTCAGACGAATAATATCAAGTACATGGTATTAATTCTTGATTGTCTCACACATTTATCTGGTGTCATGTATTTCTATCGATGAGGTTTAACAAGCTTTCTGATGAGGATTCTTTGATGACTTACCGAAAGAGAAAGAAAATTTTTACTAAGTAACAATAATAGTGCTTTACAAACTTGAATCAGCAACAATTACAATATAAATACAAAATGAGTCGATTGTCTAGGAAATTTTGCGGCATTAATAATTTTCTTTTTATGTAAGTTATCACAATTAATCATTGATACGATCAGTTGATTCAATTGAAGGACGATTGTTCATTGTTTGCGAATGATAATTGAAAATATATGTTTGACTAGAAGGCTAGAAAAGTGACAAACTTCGCGACCTGCACAAAAAACAGAGCAAATAATACTGCATCAAGCCACAGATCGTAACGAATAATTGGATATGCTAGTCTATCTGATCTTGGGTGTGGGTGTAAGTGTGATGTGAGGGTATGGATGACGATGCACTCTTAGTTACACACACCCACCCACACCCCACACCCGCACCCACATTCATACCCCCACCCACACCCTAAGGATCAGCCAATTGATTGAGGGCAGACTCGAAACCCTTTCCACCAGCAACAGTGATTCCATTCGTAGTCTATGGCGCCGTCAAACAAATTTCCCCGCACGATTTCGCAGTAGGAGATGAAGTTAACTGATCTAAATGACGATAGAAATCAACAACATCGAATTATATAGCAGAATCCGATCGCTATTTAACTTGAAAAAGTATTGTCATTTGGCTCACTTGTTATTGTTGTTGTGGACACCGGCGGGCATAGTTCTTGACTGGCCATTAACAATGGATAACACAATGATAGATTGTCACACTTAGGATGACGAACACAAACATGATCAGGTTCGAAGCATATGTCGGTGTTAGGCATACATGAAACAAGTTCAGAACACATTAACCAGCGGAAACCACAGATGTCACTACCAGTAGAAGGCCTAGAATGAAAATAACCGTATGCACTGTTCGTCGAACATTGATCGTATTGAGATAAACCATGACATTGCTGAGGTTCGACTCGAACTGTCAACAGATAGAATTAGAGACTAAACAAGTGAAAAGAAGCGTCAACAATACCGGAAAGGCTAAAATCAGAGATTATCTGTAATATTTAGAGATAAATCGAAGAAAAATTGTCAATCACCTGATAGTGAAGAATAAGAAGCAGTAGTATAAGCTTTTTTGTCACCATTTTTGTCTTCAACTCAGGTAAAATAAGATAGTTTATTAATGGTCTTGTTCTTCTCCGTAAGTGTGACTCAGATCATTTTTTTCTGACATCATCACTGTGGACCATCATCTGCCCTATCACTCCTCAAGAAACGCAGTCGTGTTCTCTCCGAACTGCATGCATTTGTTGATGTGTTGATAAAAAAAAGCACGCCCGCCTTCTTCACACGTATTGCGCAAGAGAAAAATAAACTTGTTAATTACACGGCAATTCTTTGACATGTCACACTTTGTGAGTATGAGTAAAATATGCACTCATCCACTTTCACCATTTTTCAATTCAAGAATATTATCAATCGGTTGAACTTAAATTTCTTCACTTACCACGTCTCATTTTCAGTTATTTTATCATAAAAAATCTTGGATATAAAAGCAAATATTTTTTCGTTCATCGTTTCGAGTTCTTCATTTTCTATAACCAATGTTGGACTACAATAATATTCAATATGCCAAAATAGCTTAATATTTATTTCAATAGTATCGTTTCTGTCGTTTTGCTTTTGTTTTTT